CCAGACCCAATCTGGATTTGTACCAATCAATTTTCTGCTAAATCATCCATCCCCGCTCATAAGGAAACCAACTGGTAATCTTGTACACAGCAGTAGCATCCTGGTTAGCTCCCATCCAGTTTACTCTCCAAATAAAATTAAACTACACTGGGGAGTACATTCTAGGAAGTCTGCGCATGTAAGCTGCACTGCCTTCTTTGGTCCTTGAGGCAGCATATCAGTTCTGCACCAACCTTATCTGAAAAGTTCTCCTTTGATCAATCCTATTTGGCAATGTGTCTAAACGCATGCAAACTTAATTAGTTCAGGAGGAGCCTCAGCATTTGTAGTGATGGATAAAAGTAAAGGAGGAAATGAGAGGAGTCAGAGCTGGCAGCAAGTGCTCTCTCACTCAAGCTCAAGCCATGTTTTCTGACACACCGCTAATCAGATGTGACACCACCAAGGCCACAGCAGCCAATCTCAAGCAGGAAAAAGTGATAGGCTGTTTTGTAACAGGTAGCAGCTGAAAACCCTTACTTCCACAAAACTAGAATCACAATATCATGTATTTCCCACTGGACACCAACAATGCCCAAGGATCTACCTAAGCATCAGCTTTGGGGCTTTTGTGTAAAATAAAAGAAAAATGGAAGAATCAGAGGAAATAAGCTATTTACAGCATCTCTTGAAGCTGGGACTGAGTACGCATGTAAAAGAAAAGAATAGCATAAACAGTCTCAAAAACACTCTGCACTGACTCCACACAGCCACAATGGTTCAAATCTTTTTCAAAAGGGGGAAGGATCCTTCATTATGCCTTCCCTTCTATAAAACCACAGAGTTCTAAGTATCTTTTTGTCCAAACCTTGCTATAAGAATTTCATGAACATAAACACTACAAGCAGGAAGATTTGACGTTTCTGTAGAACAAGGTTGCACATCTCCTCTATTTAGTCAGATGTATTGTGGAATCGTTTTAGAATAAGGAATTTGTTTCCTGACATCAGACATAAAACAGCTACTACTTGAATGGTTGTTTCTTGTTCTACATTTAATAATTTTGTTCTCTTTTCTTCATGGCTTTTTGTATTCTATTTCCAAATGACAAAAACAAGAAAAAGAACTAGTTTCACTTAGTATTTATGCATTCTAAACAGTGAGCGTATGGTAAAGTGGAGAGCCATTTTGTTTTGTTTTTACTCTTATTTGTTGTAGTTTCAACATATTCAGTGTTTAAACATTTTATACTTATCACTTCTCCTTAACAAATTGTACACAACATGTATGTCTTAATGCCTATAATATTTCATCCTCCCGCTTCATTACATATTGTCCAATCACCCAGTGCTGACCTTTCACCCCAGACCAGCCAATTACAATACTTATTTCCAAAAATCGGTTGTTTCTATTACAGGTTTGTTCCCCTTACCTTCTATATATACATATTCTATCAATTTCCCCCAAATCTTCCCAAAATCATCTTTTTTTTAATAATCCTCTTTTAACCTTTATGTTTCCTGTCAGTTTACTGTTTATTGCAATGTCCCAGATCTCCCTATACCACTCTTCCAATTGGCACTCCCCTCCTTCTTTCCATTTTTAGCTATTAACAATCTTGCTGCATTTACCAGATTGGCAATTAATTCTTTTAGTTCTTTTGGTATTTTAACATTATTGATAAATGACAGCAGTGCTATCTCCGGTGTTCCTGTTATCTCTATTTGGGTAATTCCTCTTATTTCTTGAAATACATTTTCCCAGAATTTTTGAACATTTTTACAAGACCACCACATGTGTATATAGGTACCAGTTTCTTGACAGCCCCTCCAGCACTGCTTAGAATGTTTCTTATCATTTGATTTAATCTGATTGGTGTGAGATAACATCTCCACACCACTTTGTAATAATTCTCTTTTATTCTTATTGACATATTTTAATAAATAATATTCCTCATTCCTTTCCTGTTTTGAGGGTGTATTACTTTATTACAATTTGACTCCCACATTCTTTTGAGGTGGTCCTGCTCCTGGCCCCCCTCCAACAGCATTTTGTAGATATCACTTGTTATATCTTTTGTTCTTTCTTTTTCTTCCTTAATTCCCCTTTGACTAATTATTTCTTCAAATTTGATAAGTACTCTATTTCCTTTATATTTCTTTCTTATTTCCCTTAACCATCCTTCCAGTTGTAGAACTTTATCTAATCTAATACTGCCTCTTGATAACTGGTCCTTTATCTCCTCTACATTTTTCATCTTTGATTCCCAATCTTTTAATTTTGTTATTCATTTTTCCTTGAATGCTCTTTCTAACTAGTTTTTGAGATTTATAAGGAAATTATTTGTAATTAATGGGGAGATCAGTGGTATTGATTTTTCTTCATGCTTAGACCATATTTCCAATATATATATTTTAAAGGGTTCTTTATTTTGTTATACTATTTCTTCTCTAGATTCCTAATTTTCCCTATAAAGAAAATATATTCTAGTTTCATATCTATGTCTTCACTCTCTTCTAACCATTCTAAATCCTTTTGACCCATAATCCCTTCAACAATATATCTTAACTGATTTGCTGTATAGTATAGTTTTAAGTTTGGTATTCCCAGGCCTCCCTTCTTTTGTATTTTGTATCATTTTCCTTATTAATTCTAGCTCTTTTATTCTCGTTGCAAAGGTGTTTATCATATTCTGCCACTTCGTAATTTCTCCAGCTGAGATTTTAATAGATAGCATCCTAAACAAAAAGTTTATTTTAAGTAATATTTTCATTTTTATTAAAAAAACTATTGTATTGAACCATGACAATTTGAGCTTGGCAAATTTAGCCAGAATATCCTTAATGTTTTTTCTTAATTTGATTAAACTCATCCCTTCTAGATTATTAGAATTTTGGTGTAGTGGTTTGATTGTTGGACTAGTACACTGGGAGACCAGGGTTTGAATCCACACTCAGATATGGAAACCCATAAGGTGATCATGGCCAAGTCACATTCTCTCAGGGTCAGAAGGAAGGGGCAAACCCTCTTTGAAAAAATTCTGCCAACGAACTCTTGTGATAGCCTTATATAAAGTCGTAAGTCGGAAATGACTTGAAAACACAGATTAATATTTCAAGTCCTAAAGAACTGTATATTGTTTCTTTCACATCCTTTCCATGTTGTTTATAATCTCATTGAAATGCTATGATCGAGACTGCCCACACAACCCCAGCTAACCAATGCTATTGCTATCCCAAAACAAAATTCAATGAACATCAAAAAATTAACTACTTGGAATCAGGAATTTGACAGCCAGAACAAAGAACTCCAATGACCGAATTAAGTTATGGAAAACAGAATATGACATAAATATTTTGGTTCTACAGGGTCTTTCAGTGGCTTTTGAAACTGGGTTGCCTCATTGAGATGGGACTTGGAAGTACTGTTTTACACTGGCTCTATCCCTTCCTGGAGGAGCAAACCCATAAGGTATTACTGGTGGATTCCTGTTCAACTCTCAGACAACTGGCCTATGGGGTCCCTCAAGGCTTTCCTTTTAAAACCCATGCTATTTAACATATACATGAAACTGTTGGGAGAGGTCATCCATATTTTAGGTTCAGGTCTGACTATCAGAGACTTAGCTGGGGGAGGAGCTAGAAGCTACTAGCTAGAACAGTGGTTCTCAACCTGTGTGTCCCCAGATGTTTTGGCCTTCAACTCCCAGAAATCCTAACAGCTGGTAAACTAACTGGGATTTCTGGGAGTTGTGAGCCAAAACACCTGGGGATCCACAGGTTGAGAACCACTGAGCTAGAAGCTGCAGTCCAAGTCCCTGAAGGGAGCCAGAGAGAAGTGAGGCCAAAAGGAATATTTTATGTAGGTGTGATGGAAGAGACAGCATAAAATGAGCTTGTGCCTGTTGGGTGAAACATTCCCAGCCTCAGATAATAATTTGGGAAAAGGTTTTGGGTTACAGCTGTCATGCCTGTTAGGATAAGACTGTTTGTGTGAGCCGATTGCAGACTTGGTTGTTTGTGTGCTCCGTTTCCAGGATTAGAGGGACATACCATTGAATATCAGTCACTAGGGATCATATCCTTAATTGTCCTGCCAAACAGGACAATTTCCACCACCATCATCTATTTGGCACTATGAGAAAAAGGATTCCAATACTAGACCAGTTTTTTCTTATGTTCTTAATTTTTCCAGATCAGGAGTTGTCAGACATTTGATGCAGTGCAACAACCCAAGACTACAGAAGATTCAACTATAAAGTTCCAAAGACACTAAGATTTCAAAAAAGGAAATCAATAAACCTCTGAAGCACTGTTCTAACTAAAATCTTAATCCATACATAAAGTATAGTAATGTTAATCTTACAGATACACCTTTTAATTCAAGATTAACATGCAGAAGCTAGCAACCACTGTGATGGAAGTACAAAATTCCAACCAAAATGCACACTTACAATTGGAAAGCACTATTCAGAACTAGTATCTACCCTGTATACAGTCATTCTCAAGCATGAAATGATCTTCAACTTAAACACTCATAATTTTGAAGAAAAAGGTTGCTCAGACTTCAGGCCCAGGAGAAATGGCTTTTCTCATTATGATATATTTTGTTTATCCACAATCTTAACCATTTAAAGGAGAAATGAAGAAAAGTAGAAAAACATCAAAGCCTATAATTCTTTTGAGAATGCCCTGGAATTGACATCTTAGATAGCTGGACCCATAATTTTGCTTCTGACATAGCCAAATTCTGGCATGCAGGCAAATGGAGAGATGGCAAAAGTCAGAAGTGACATAACAGTGGTTGGGCATGCTTCAGTAATACATTACTTGATGATGTTTTCTTCCAAATCCTAATATAGCTATTGGAGAATTAAGATATAGAAACAGCAGTGCCACAAAGCACCTCATAAACTCTTACAAGTAAGCAATAGCATAATATTCTGCTACAGAAAGAAGTTTTGTAGATGCAACAACTGTCACACCACGAAGACACAAGCCTCCCCCACCCCCAATACTTACATTACTTTCAAGTCCCAGTCTCCACAGGTTACAAAGATCGACTTGACACTGGGATCCAAGAGGCCTTCCTTTGCCATCCACTCATCAACTCTCTGAAAGAAACAGACAGAAAGAAGATGAGCTTTATCAGACATGGAAAAGAGACACAACAGTTAAATGCTGATAAGCTTCACAATCACAAGAGAAGAAAATTGTGATCTTATCCGACACGGCTGCCCCCCTACTCCCATCTCATTCTGTTCCCATCCTCATCTGTGTGAAAGTATACTTGGATCTTTGAAGATTTCCAATAGAAGGCATCAAGCAGCCAGTGATTATTATCAGGCCTCACAATACTTTGATTATAGAGCAGCCATCAAACATTAATATTGACTAGCCATTTTCTATGTACCCTACCCCCCCCATTCCCCTAAAAACAAAAAACATAGTAAAGCTAGTCCTAACAATAGGTCCCATTTCTACCACAGATTCCAAGCAATGCATGGCTCTGAACAAGCATTGACCAAGAGGACTAATTCACCACCTCACATACTACTGAAAGGCAACACAGTAAGAATCTTGAAATCACAGGAAAAATATTACCTTAGGTTCGATTTTGCCAATATATTGTTACCACAGTAACACCTCATGCTGTTTAAAGAGCAATGGTACAAGGAAAAACTTATCTACTTTCAGTGGAATAATTAATTTCAAAAAATCCAAGTTCCCATCCATATTTCTTAATACTTGCAATATTCATTTAAGGAAAGCTGCTATCTTTATTTTGTTCCCATGGAAAATTGGTAAATCACTTTAGAACTACACTTCTGTGATTCTGGGACTGTGTGTTCAAGGCAGATCTCAAGAGTTAACAGCAAAGCTAACTCTTGTTAGTACTATGCAGAAAGTGGCACTGGCAAATCACCTCTGAATGCCTTTTGTCTTGAAAACTCTGGTGAGACAATCCAATGGTAAATCAATAAATTCTATTGGCTAAAATGATCTAACTGTCGTTAGAACTGATAATTGTATTTAGCCCTTTATTCCCACCCAAGATATCAGACAGTCACATAATCATAAAATCATAGAGTTGGAAGAGACCTCATGAGCCATCCACAGTCCAAACTCCTGCCAAAAAGGAGGAAAATCACATTCAATGCTAATATTTTGTATGTAATTATTTTGTATTTCATGCACAATGGCTGCAAAACCACACTAGAAGACTACAGGCATATCTCAGCAAGGAAGGAAGCTTCTTTTTATTATTTTTTATATCCACCCACCTTTTTAATATTTGTCCTCTGACTTGTGAGGATGTTTCCAGCATCATTAGCTGGGAAGATGGTAAAGGTGGGCTAGAGAAATATATATTTTTGTCCCAGGTTGTAGCAATGTGTCTGTGGCACACAATAAATCTTGATGAGATTCTGTTTGCTTACAGCAGGCAAGGTAAACAGCAGCTGGCTACAGCATCTTTTATTGAGCATGCACAAACTTAAGAGAAAATGAGCAGAGAAGTATGTATATCAACGCGTTATCGCCTCCATTTTCGGAACAAGTGTTAACCATCTCACTATCAGACCCTCCTGCCATTTTGGTGGCTCATATCCAGCGTTCCGTAGGAAAGTCCTTATTACCAGCAAAACCTAATAAGACTTACATCCTTTTTGGCCATGGAGCCTTATGATTTGGGGGGACGGGGGACGACAAATTTGGAACAATATTTACTTATAAGACTGAGGACTCGAAAGAGTAAATTGCACTGCTATTATACTGGTTGATGCTGCTAACTTCCCCAACGCTAGCACTTTAATCTTTTGACTTAATAACTCGCACTTTAACCATTAACCCCTTCATTGTCGTACTTTATTTATTATCATAGTTATCAACAAACCCGACAATTCCCTTTGCACTTTAATACCTTTTATCATCTAGCACTTTAATACCTGCTGGTAGTTTGTGAATTTCCAGTGATATTGTACCAACATTGACCATCCATGTTGCTCCCTATTCCCTGGTATCTATTAATTGTATTGTTAATTGATTGGGAAGGGGATAGGGGGTGGAGTGGATTGGAGGAATTTGGAAATAATAGAGCAGGGGTGGGAAATGAATGGAGGGGAGGACAATGGCATACGGAAATACTAACAAACCAAACAACTAGGAGTGAATCATGGGTTGACGCTATGAAAGTTGAGTGCGACATGGAGGAGGGGGGTGTCTCGTCAGCTGAGGGGCCCCCATAGAAACTATAACGGGGAGGGGAAGATGCAGGAAAGGGAGACCATTAATTCAGCCTAGGGATTGTGGAAATTTAGTAACTCTAAATAGGTCTCCTGACGTGGTAAGTTGGTCTACCCAGGATGGCGGTCCCTCTGGATTGAAGGTGGTGCCAGATCTGTCAATGGAAAAACAACTTTCATCCAAGACTTAATCCTAGATGAACGGGCAGATCTAGCATGCATTACGGAGACCTTGTTGGATGAAGCGGGAGGTGTAAATTTGACCCAGCTTTGTCCACCAGGGTTCTCCATGCAGCACCAACCGAGATCTGGAGGGCGGGGAGGCGGGGTTGCGGTGGTCTATAGAAATACCATCCCTCTGACCAGGGGTCCCATCCCGCAGTCAACCAATTTTGAATGTGTCCATCTGAGGGTGGGTGACCTGGACAGAATAGGGATTCTGTTAGTGTACCGCCCACCTCGCTGCACTACGGTCTCCCTACATGAGCTAGCAGGGGGTGGTCTCGAACTTGGCATTGGAGTCCCAATGGCTTCTTGTGCTGAGGGACTTTAATGTACACACCGAGGCTACCCTAGTAGGAGCGGCTCAGGACTTCATGTCTTCCATGGCAACCATGGGGCTGTAGCAAAGGGTATCTGGCCCCACTCACAGTGCTGGACACACGTTGGATTTGGTTTTCTGCCAGGGATGGGAGCATGGTGGTGGTGTTGAGGAGTTGACCATCTCTCCGTTGCCATGGACCGACCACTACCTGGTCAGATTTAGACTCACTGCACCCCCTAACCTCCGCAGGGGTGGGGGACCCATTAAGTTGATCCGCCCCGAGAGGCTTATGGATCCAGATGGATTCCTGATGGCTCTTGGGGAGTTTCCGGCCACCTTGGTAGGTGATCCTGTTGATGCCCTGGTCACTCTCTGGAATGGGGAGATGACTAGGGCAATAGACACGATTGCTCCAGAACGTCCCCTCTCAAGTAGCCGAGCTAAACCAGCTCCTTGGTTCAACGAGGAGTTGGCAGCGATGAAGCGAAGGAAGAGGGAACCAAATCGAACACAGTTTGTGTCCTTTCTAAGGGCATATGCCGCAGCAATAAAGGCCGCAAAGAAATCTTTCTTTGTGACCACTATTGCGTCTGCAAAGAACCGTCCGGCTGAGCTGTTTCGAGTTGTCACAGGCCTTTTAAATCCCACAACTCAGAATGGGAGCCCTGACAACTCGGCAACCCGCTGTGAAGCTTTTGCTCAGTTCTTTGCAGACAAAGTCACTTTGATCCGTTCTGGTCTGGATACCACATTAACAGCAGTCTCTGAGGATGTAGCTGGAACATCTGCTTGTCCGGTTTTAATGGATTAATTTCAATTGGTGAAACCCGAGGATGTGGACAAGATACTTGGAGGAATGAGGCCTACCACATGCCCTGCCCATCCTGGCTTTTGAAAGAAGCCAGAGGGGGATTGGCCAAGTGGGTAAAGGTGGTGGTTAATGCCTCCCTTCGGGAAGGCAGTATTCCAGCGAGCTTAAAACAAGCTATAATAAAACCGCTGTTGAAAAAACGATCACTGGACCCCACTCAATTCGTCAACTATCGGCCAGTTTCCAATCTCCCCTTTTTGAGCAAAGTCCTGGAACGTGAGGTAGCTTCACAACTCCAGGTATTCTTGGAAGACACGGATTATCTGGATTCGGCACAGTCTGGCTTTAGGCCGGGACATGGTCTTGGTCGCCTTAGTGGATGATCTACATCGGGAGCTAGACAGGGGGAGTGTGTCCCTGTTAGTTCTGCTGGACCTCTCAGCGGCCTTCGATACCGTCGACCACAGCATCCTTCTGGGACACCTCGTGAGAATGGGCCTTGGAGGCACTGTTCTGCAATGGCTCCAGTCCTTCCTAGAGGGTCGATCTCAGAAGGTGTTGCTGGGGGACATCTGTTCTGCCCCACAACCATTGTCTTGTGGGGTTCCACAGGGATCAATATTGTCTCCCATGTTGTTCTACATGAAGCCGCTGGGGGAGATCATCTGGAGTTTCGGGGTACGGTGTCATCTGTATGCGGATGGTGTCCAACTCTGTCACTCCTTTCCACCTGCTACTAAGGAGGCTGTTCAGGTCCTGAACCGGTGCTTGGCCACTGTAACGGTCTGGATGAGGGCGAACAAATTGAAATTGAATCCAGACAAGACAGAGGTACTCCTGGTCAGTCGTAAGGCCAAACAGGGTATAGGGTGACGGCCTGTGTTGGACGGGGTTACACTCCCCCTGAAGATGCAGGTTTGCAGCTTGGGTGTGATCTTGGATTCGTCGCTGGGCCTGGAACCCCAGGTTTCAGCGGTGACCAGGGGAGCATTCGCACAGTTAAAACTTGTGCACCAGCTGCGCCCGTACCTTGGGAAGTCTGACTTGGCCACGGTAGTCCACGCTCTGGTTACATCCCACATAGACTACTGCAACGCTCTCTACGTGGGGTTGCCTTTGAAGACTGCTCGGAAGCTTCAAATGGTCCATTGTTCGGCAGCCAGGTTGCTAACAGGAGCGGCACTCAGGAAGCATACTACTCCTCTGTTGTGCCAGCTCCACTGGCTGCCAGTCTACCGGGCACAATTCAAAGTGCTGACGTTGGCCTATAAAGCCCTAAACGGTTCTGGCCCTACTTACCTCTCCGAATGCATCTCCTCCTATGAACCGGCTAGGACACTAAGATAATCTGGGGAGGCCCTGCTCTCTGTCCCGTCTGCATCACAGGCGTGCTTGGCGGGGACAAAAGACAGGGCCTTCTCAAATGTGACCCCTCGGCTGTAGAACGCCCTGCCTGCAGATATCAGATCGGCCCCCTCCCTGCTGGCGTTTCGGAGGAAAGTGAAGACCTGGCTG